TAGTTAATGTTGAATAAATGAGAACAAAATACTTCAGGTTTGATACATCGAACGATCCCTATTGAAAATACAAAATCCGCTTAAATTAGAGTGGAATTAACAGAATAAAACTTGTATAACAACGCAATCTTTCTTACACGAGATTAAACAGTGTAGTTCACAGCAGAACACAATCGCTTTATATTTACATTTTAAAGGCTCAAATAAAAACACCTTCCACAGTAGAAAACCTGGCTAGTTAAAGTTGAATAAATGAGAACAAAACACTTCAGGTTTGATACATCGAACGATCTCTATTGAAAATACAAAATCCGCTTAAATTAGATTGGAATGAACAGAATAAAACATGTATGTATAACAACGCAATCTTTCTTACCCGATATTAAAAAGCGTAGTTCACAGCAGAACACAATCGCTTTATATTTACAATTTAAATTTTCAAGTAAAAAGCTTCCACAGTAGAAAACCTGGCAAGTTAAAATTGAATAAATGAGAGCAAAATATATCGGATTTAATACATCGAACAATCCCTATTGAAGATACAAAATCCGTTTAAATTAGAGTGTAATTAACAGAAAAACATGTATAACAACGCAATCTTTCTTACACGATATTAAAAACTGTAGTTTACAACAGAACACACTCGCTTTATATTTCCATTTTAAAGGTTCAAAGAAAAAGTTTCCACAGTAGAGAATCTGGCTAATTAATGTTGAATCACTGAGTGAAAATGATTTTCAATTTGAAAAATCAAGCTGAATTATTGATTTTTGAAACCGTTTGAATTGGGATATAAACCACAGAAGAAAGCCAGTAAAAAATAACAAAAATTGCCTAATGCGACAAAAAAATTGTGATAGATCAAAAATTTGAAAATGAAAAAACCTTAGCCAGAATAAATATCCTCGGAGAATAAATATGACGAGCAATTATATAATGAAACGCAAGTCAACAATATAGGACTAAAAGTTCTACATGTAGATGACAATCAGGGGAAAAGTAATGCAGAACTTAGCGAAAACTAAAACATTAAAAAAGTGACTTGGTGAACCTAAAAAATATCATTTTTACAAAATATGTAATAAATTTTACACCATACGCATAGTTCAAGGTAGAAGCAAACAGCTTGATTAAAAACTAAAGATAATTTAAAAGTTGACGTTGAATTATTCATAGGTACCTACGAGGGGAATATTAGTGAAAGAAACAATAAATATCCTGAAACATCAACGGTTGAAATCTAGTTATTAGTAAATAGAAACATTTTAAAGTTACCTGTTTTACCTAAAAAAAAAAAATATATTTGCAAAATAAGTACCTAGATAATAAAATATTAATAGTTCAAAGCTGCAAAAAAATGTTTAAAGAATCAACAAATCAATAAAAACAAAAATAAGTGGGCAGTCATTTGAAAAAACTGCTATATGAAATAAGAAAGACGCCCTATAAAATCAAATAATCATTAAGTACAAATCGAAATCGTTTAGGCAAGATTACACGCAACGTTTTAACGTGCTATCCTCCAATAATGCAATAAACAATAAATAGCAATAAACAATAAAAAATACAGTTATTCGGACGGATCCCAGCCCCTGAAAATCCCTAACACGAACCGTTTAGCAAAAAAGAATTTGTTAAAAATTTTAAATTTGGAAAAAACTGCTCGAAATCTAAATGTTTTGGCCAGGATCACACGCAACGTTTTAACGTGCTATCCTCCAATAATGCAATAAACAATAAATAGCAATAAACAATAAAAAATGCAATTATTCGGACGGATCCCAACCCCTGAAAATCCCTACCACAAACCGTTTAGCAAAAAAGAATTTGTTAAAAATTTTAAATTTGGAAAAAACTGCTCGAAATCTAAATGGTTTGGCCAGGATCACACGCAACGTTTTAACGTGCTATCCTCCAATAATGCAATAAACAATAAATAGCAATAAACAAAAAAAAAATGCAGTTATTCGGACGGATCCCAGCCCCTGAAAATCCCTAACACGAATCGTTTAGCAAAAAAAGAATTTGTTTAAATTTTCAAATTTGGAAAAAATAGCCCGAAATCTAAATGGTTTGGCCAGGATCACACGCAACGTTTTAACGTGCTATCCTCCAA